CCACCTGGGGTTCTTTAACCTGCACCCAAATCTGAGAACATGGGCCTACAACATCTTCGCCTCCATCGAAAATGCGGTCAGCCGTCGCAGTAGAATTTGGTCAATAGTGAACTAGAAATCTCTCCGCGTAAATATTAGTAACAATCTCAAAGGCTATGCTTGCGTGGCGCATATGCGCCACGCAAGCATAGCGCCACGCATATGCGCCAGAACCGATTACATCTGATGAAGGCACACTGTGACCGCTAATTTTCTGTCGTCATAGGATAATTTGACCATTCCTGAAAAAACCTGCAATATCACAAAGGTTCCTTTTTGGCTCAAACAACAGGGGAGAATTCCCCCCAAAAAAGAGAAATTTCCTGCACGGGACATCACTACTTCGCGCCGGACCCATACAAGCTGATTAGTCTCAGGCAAGTCTTATAGTGCGGTACTACGAATTAAATTTCGAATACTTGACCTCCTGTTCCAGGAAGGGGGTGGGCAGCCTGCGACCCGTGAAGCACTAATATGCAGATTCTGGCCTGACCCCAGAAGCTCCCCCATTTCCCCTCGTCAGCTTCTTTCTCAAGGTCAACACTACACTTTGTACGTCAAGTGAGGTTAGGCATCACTTACGAAGAATTATCACTTTCATTCGCCATTGTGCCGCATCTTCTCAATTGAATTGATTATAGCCAAAATCTAGCCATAGCTTAGACAGTTGTGCGCCAATTTTTGCTGAGCCTGCGAGGTCCCTCTGCCTTCCCTCTTTTATTGGCCGTGGGGTCCCCTGGCCTTCTCGGTTTTATGAATTCGGCCTTCAGGTTCAAAAGGTTACCGATGCCTGTTCGAAACCCATTTGGTGTATCGTGCGTCGGATGCGACGCACGAAGAACACGAGGCCCGGCGCCCGAAGCGTGAGCTGGCGAGAAAAATTGAGTGGCACACATGAGATCCGGCTGAAAACTCTATGTGTACACAAGCATCCCTAGATATACATTTATACAACGCCCTCTGTGGGGTGCAGGGAACCAGTTTAGAAACTGGAACCGGAACCAAGACCACCACACCACGTCATCCCCCCCCCCTTTCGAAATTAAGAGGATGCTGGGTCCTATACACGCAGCCAATGCAAAATAAGAACAAAAATATATGGTATAAACACAGAAGTAGCGAAATGGACAGCATAACCACGTGAAGAAATGCACAGCAAACACATGAAAATGCGAAAGCAATGCACACCTGAAAGAGTAGCACCACATCACCCCCCACCCCCCTGAATAGAAAGGCATGCGGGAGTAACACGTAACACAAGCACACACTGCACGCAGCACTATGAAGAATAAAAATGTATGGTAGGCACACTAACATATCAAAAAGAGGCACACTGCCAAGTGTCCCAGTCATCATAACCTCCCCCGAGAGAGGATGTCTGCATAATCACTGTGATGTTTAAGTCTACGGTGCTGACGCTTGTACCATTGCCTTTTCCACGAAAGACGTTACAAGTGCAGCCACCGACAGCAGGACAGCGCTACGGCGGAACGAGAGAATCGGCCCAATTAACGTTCCTTTCAGTGCAACTACGGCATAGTAGGGGCCGGAACAAGCAGGTATTGATGAGGCTCCGATTTGGAATTGATCGGCGCCAGCCGATGCAGCAACCGGTGGATGCACGTCCGGTGGACGTGGAGCAGGAACAGTCTTCTGGAAGTTATCACCGGTCGTAAGAAGCCCAGCCGGAGCGTGAGCAGGAACAGGCAGAGTGGGAGTAACTGGCTCAACTGAAGTATGTACGGCTGCCATGTAAGCAGGTGAAGAATGATTAGCAGTAGCTGACCCGACCGAAACAGCCATCGTCGCCACGGAAGTACTCCCAATCAAAGCAGGTAGAACCATAGTATGCTCTACTGCAGGCGATACGGCAGGAGCAGGTGCATCAGGAGCACGGCCAGCTGGGACTCTAACAGGTGCAGCACAAGTGAGCACACTATCAGTCTGGGCCGGAATTGTCACAGTGAGGAAAGTCAAAGTATGGCGTGGTTAATCAATAGCTACAACCTTTCTGGACTGGTCTACGCTTAAGTAATGTCCTCTCCTTCTGCAATGCACACAGGTAAGGGTCCTTGCTGGGTCAGCGGCAGCGTCGGCCCAGTAACTGTGACGAACCACAGCAGAACCACGCTCACACGTGCGCCGACGGCGACGCCGGAAAAACGGATTCGGACGCGCTGGTAGTCGGAGAGGGGGGTGGGGCGGAGTTATTCTTAAAAGAGAAAAAAGAAGGAAAAAGTAAACTCCGTTTCTGTCTCTCAGGGGGAGGACACCTCAACAGTAGCTCACGAAGGGTGGGGGTAAGGAGGGAATAAAAGGATGGGATTAAAAGGTATAGAGATAGAGAGAGGCGCAGGGACAGAGAGACCACCTACGGAAATAAGGGGAAAATAAGAGAAATGGACATGGTCACAGAAGCCCGAGGACGGGGCACCACTCAGCGAGAGCTCTTGTCGGCGTCAAGAGATGGCGTAGGGCGAGCCGGTCGGCCAGAGCTGCGCTGTCGTCGGAGATCGCGGGGGCACAACAGATCGGCACGCAATCCAGCGAGCGAGCGCCAGCCGAGGGAGCTGTCGCAGTCGGCGAGCAGACTGCGCCGGCTTGCGAAGCAGCCGGAGGAGGGACGCTCCGAAGGTTGGAAGCAAGTTCGCCAAGACACGTCTGTCGCGGCGACACAGCGTCGCTTTAAAATGCCGCCAGCTTTTGTAATGCGCTGGTCGACGCGCTCCTCTTCTATGGCAAGTTTTAGGGCCTTCTGAATTGACAATTCCGCTCCCATCTTCAGAATTTTAGGGGCGAAGCTTCTTAAAGCGGCACCCGTTCCTGCCTCGTTGTCGTAGTCGTAGTCGTAGTGTGTAACAACTGTTACATTTTGACCTGCAAGGTGGTGCTGGTGGGAGATTTCTACTGTGCTTTGTTGAACAATAAAAAGTTCGCGGCGTGCGCGTTAACTAAAAGCCCAACTCTTCTGTCTCTCATTCCCCATTAGCAGCCATTGGAATGTACATTGAGCACTACCTGAGAAGAAAGGGTTGCCACGTTATACTCGGCAGGTGTAACCTCCTTAGTTTTAGAAAGAGTTTAGCGAGCGTTGAGCAGCAGTGCCATGAATACAATGATCTAGTATATACCACGAACTCGAGGTGGTTAAAGGTGGGAAGTAGATACGAAGCACGAGCCGTAAGAAAGTAAAAGCCGAATTCTCCTGTTTCTCATTTCCCATTAGCAGCCATTGGCATGTACATTTAGCACTATCTGACAGGAAAAGGTTGCTACGTTATACTCGCCGGGCGTAACCTCCTTGGTTTTAGAAAGGTTTAGCGAGCGTTGGACCGCAGTGCCATGAATACAGTGAACTAGTATATACCATAAACTCGAGCTGGTTAAAGGTGGGAAGTAGACCCGAAGCGCAAGCCGTAAGAAAGTGTGCATGTGCCACTTCTCGTTTAGTCTTTGGATTGTCCGCTGGATGGCGGTGCTTCTATATGGGGGATGCATAATGAAAAGATGCGAGATGGTGGTACTCGGAGTGTTGAATAGATGGACGAACGGACATACAGACAGATGCATGGATGGACGCATGAACGGACGCAGGGACGGACGCACGAACAGACGCACACACGGAAGGGCGGATGGACGCATGGACGGTCACACAGACGGACGCATGGACGGATGGAATCAAGAACGAATGGATGGACGAATGCTTCGCTCCACTCTCCATCATTCACTCCGTGGATATGCTGCCATGTTTTTCTCTGCAGATTCGGGGACGTGATTCCGTTCTACAATTTGTCGAACGTCAGCATGAGCAATGCGTTTAATTTCTAAAATGTATTGTGCAGCGGTCTCGCTCGGTGGTTGCGTTCGTTTTGAAGGAGGCACGTAGGCACATCGGATCGACTTGCTTGTCGCCCGCATGGGTTCGAATAGCATACTCGTCGCCAATTGTTGTACCATGCTTCAGACACCCGACGCACGGCGTACACGAGGCTCGGCGCCTGAAACGCGAGCCGGGAAGGAGAATAATGTTGCACAAATGAGACCCCGGCTGAAACTCTCTTTATATGTACACAGGCATCACTATATATTATTTATGTAACGCCCTGTGTGGTGCCAGGAAACTGGTTCCAAAACCGTAGTAGAAACCAAAACCACGTACACCATATCATTCCTCCTTAAAAACGAAGAGATGTGGGATCCTACACGCAACCAATGCATAATGAGAACAAGAACAGACATATATACAAAAAGATGTAGCGAAACAAACACCAAAACAGAGTGAGGAAATGCACAGAGCAACACGAAATATGCATAGGTAATGCACACTTAGAAAAATAGCACCACACCTATATTTAGAGCTTTTCAGCTTAATAGCAAAGCCATAGGTTGGCGGTGGATAACGCTATTTTAAGAAACAGTACACGAATGCGTGTATAGAAATATCGGAAATAAATTCAAGGGCTTCGTGTTTTTCGAACGACTTGGGGGACTACGTCGCTTGTGGGACGTGTCCCTTTCTAATGCACACCGAGGCCCGGTACGTGAACAGCGTGCGACACTCACATGCCTAGTCAGCAAATGTGTGTGTCGCTGGAACATAGATTCCAATTAAATCGAATAAACAATTTATGCCATGCATTGATTTGGTTTTATTAAGAAAGCTAGATGTCCGGATCGCCGAAAACGGGCGAGTACCAGACCACCAGTAAAAAGGCGTAGCCTACATCCTTACGCTGCGCTATTTGTTCTAATTAAGTTCGTCATGATGGGCACTCGTAGAATGCGCCTAAAATAGTCCTTCTCTACGCGTTTGCTCGGCGTCCAGGCGATTACGTGCACACCTCGGTCATGCCACGTGCGAACAGCTGTCGAAGTTCAATCTATCTTTCCACAAAAGAACGGCAGATGCACCGGTGATGTAATGAAGCAGGCCGGTGTTGAGTGCCTGCTCGAGAAGCCAGTCAGCGATGACCGCCTTGTAATGCCTTATTGGGCATTTCGTAGCGAGGACGTCGCCTTTCCGGGTCTTCGTACGCAAGCAGCCCGGGTCGCCAGGTTAGCGCCGTAACGATGTCGGGGTATTTAAGCCGCAGGGCGTAAATGAAGTCTGCGTTGGGTGAGGACACTAGCCCTAGGCGGTACAGTTCAGGCCACTGGCTGAATAGCACGCCGAGCAGCGCCACGGCGCGGTCATCGTACCTTTTGACGTGGATGATGAACCGCAGTCCTTGGTGAAGGCACTCATGGATACCTTCTTGGAGTGTCGGAACGCGAGTGCAGTCACGGCATTTCTTGGAAAGCGGATCATTGCTTGTGGCATCCACTTGTCGCAGGTCAGCGAAAGACGTGTTTGCCAGGAATCCCTCGCTGCTCGTCGTCCTCTCGAGGTTGTCGTCGTAGAAGAGCACCCCGACGTTGTCTCGCGTGAAGGACAGGTCCAGTTCGATGCCTGCCGCCTTTGCTTCGCGCGCCGCTTGTATTGAGTCCAGGGTGAATTCCGGCGCGTAGCGGCTAACACCGCCGTGCGCAAACAGGGGCGGCAGTCGTGACGCGTTTGTGCCATCGCCTTTGCCAAAAATGACCTCCACGGCAACCTCGTTGTCTACGGGAGGCAGAGAAAACAACAGCGTCATATAATACGCAACCGCCACAAAGATCAACAAGAATTTCCAGGCCATGTGAGTTAGTTCTCCGAGGTCGCCGTGGAAAGTGCAGCAGAGGCGAGATACGCGGCACAGCGTGGCCAACGTCCCGATGGCTGGCAATATGACTCGGGCTCTTGATGGCTTTACAGATACGTGGATAATGATCGCGTTAGTGATGATGATTATTCGATTGCGATGACAGGAAGAACAGTAGTCACACTCTTGTTGGAAAATCCATTTATTCCGCTGTAAAGTAAAGGAATGAGGGATTATATAGCCGTTATAAGTAAGAGAAAGTGATTAGAAATCCAGCTAGTTTAAGGCAGCTAAAGTAAAAGGATAAAAATACGAGAATCAAATAAGTGGTGACATTATTAAGAGTGACTTGATTGCAACTAAAATTTTTCTACAGAGAGACATGCCGTGAACGTGCCTCTTTTTGAAATCAGCCTGGTTTTGCACAATGAATCGAGCCGGCGTCAGTCTGATGTTGTTGGCTGTGAGCGAAATGTCAGCGTTGTCGGCGAGCAAGAATTCAGTAATGATGCGGATAAATGAAGAATAAAATCACCCCTTTGAGTGGGATTCGAACACAGGCTTTCTCTGACAGAGACAGGTACTTTTTCACAAAGCTACATTCCTGATAGAAGCTGCTTAAAAAAGGAGTGAAGAAAAAAAACAAAAAAGAAGAAACCTTTAGATAGGCACATTGTAGTGGCCCATTACTGCGAGGCAGAAGGGGAGGATCATACCAGGCGTCACGATATGTAAGTTTTAATATAGAGGGTTGTTAAAGGCCTATTCGTATCAAAGCATTCCGAGCTAATTGATCATAACCATCACCAACGAAATCAGCAAAGTGTGCAGCTGCTGCGCATATTTATTAGAGGCACGCAATGGATTTCATCGGTTTCAAGTATAACCACATTACGACGTAGTGACCGCTTTGCAATTGCGATTTTGCCATTTTCCGTTATAATCTACAGTTAGTCAATCCCCCTTGTGGGTATGAGCCAAGATATTTAGGCGACAAAACAAAATATAATTGCACTCAATTCATGGCCAATCCCCACAGTGGGTATGCGCCATGGGCAATAGGTGAACAAAAACAACAAGAATTGCACTTCCAGTAGGCATGCATTCTTAAGAGGGCCACTGTAACGCCCACAGCAGTTCTTTTCCTCCCGGCAAGGTTGAGGTCACCGCTGCGAAGACCAACAAGTGAATGAGAAAACCATGCGAGTGGGTCCAGATATTGTTTTTGCGTTCTAGTCTTAAAAGAGAAGCTCAAGCGTCCTTGAGCTTTCACTTTCCCTGATGTCGTCACTTACAGGTCTGCTTTCTGCCGTCGCGGATTTTCTAGAAAACGTTCGCTACCGTACCGGCTCATTTTCGACCACGTTTAAGCTGACGACGAAGTTGCGATATCACCCTCTTGAGTGCACCCTCATAGTGGTCCACTTGATACGCCCGCCCTTTTCATGGGCTCATACGAGGAAAGGGCTGATATGGCCCATGTACTTTGAAAATGCGCGACGAACAAATATAGGCCACGAAAGAGGAGGGCGTCAGCTGAAGGACCCTCTGAAGCGGGGCGCCTTGCTGAGTGGTGGCAAGCAGCCCTTCTCAGCAAGGCTCCCAAAAACCAGATATGGGCCATCCAGTGGGCCAGGGCCGTCACCGAGGACCTCGGAAGGTTTTCCTCCAACAATAGATCATTGGCAGCCTATCCCCGGGTGCAGCAACAACCATCGGACAAATGAAGTTTATTCAATTCAAACAAGGTGAGGTGCCTTGCACAATTCATGCACACGGTTTTCTCATCGCTTCAGGGCCATACGCCGCAGTCTGTGGTGGCGCAATTTGTAACTTCTTTCGAGTAGATACGTGTGGAGCTTACCACAAACTGCCATTTCTGCTTTATTTTTTCATTGCTATCTCAGAAAGGAGTGGTTGGCCATGTGTAGTTTTCAGAGAGATTCTGGTTCTGCAGTCCATACCTGTGCATAACTGGGGTGTTGAGTGGCATTGGACGCTCACTTTGTCATTTAGGCAAAGCTAGATAGGTTCTATGGTATCGTGTTTACCGACAAACCGATGTGCAGAACAACAATATCATGAGCTGGCACGTGCTATTTTCGTGCGATTCTTCCCCTTCTGTTGCACTTCCAGAACATGTGCGTCGATTTGTCCAGCACTTAGATGTAATAAACGAAATGGGATAAAGAAGTACAAAAAGAGAAAAAAAATGAAGTGCGAGAGAAAGAGAAAAGACAGACCTTGGCGAAAAAAAAAAGAAATTGCGCAGGTGGTGTTGCAATCCGCCTACCCACGATTGTTGCGCGCCTGGCTCTCTAGCAAAACGTAACATAGCCTTGTATAGTATACGATGGTATTTTGTTGTATAGAGACGTGTTGGAAAAGGTAGATAAGAGAGAGAAAAATAAAACAAATGAAAGAGCGTAAGATAATGCGAAGAAGAACAGAAATAAAAAGAGCAGGACAAAAAAAAGCGAACAGAAAGAAAAGAGATGCAGAAAAAAGTCAATTTCATAGCAAGGGCGAAAGCTAGAAAATGACAAGCACCCTGACGCTTGCAGCATGCAAAAGTAAAGCACGAGGAAGAACACTAAAAAATGTTCAGGTATGCACAGCACGACCGAAAGCTGTAGAGAGAGAGAGAGAAAGATTGTCTTTATTTAAACATATGCTGAAGAGGCTGAGAAAGGGCCATTCGACCCTTAATTCAACCTGGAGGCTTCGTCCAGGATGGCGCTGGCAGCCGAAGGCTTGTAACGATGTCCCGGGCCCTCTGAACTGCCTGTAGTTGCTGCTTGTATTCGTTGCTCTTGAGGGCTTCCTGCCAAGCCTCTTGGATATTCAGTTGTACTGCGGTGTGGGTCAAAGCATATGTTCAAAATTGCAATTGGGATGGTTGCAAAGGGAGCATGTGGGTGGTGTGTCGGGGTCGACTCTATGTAAGGTGAATGGTGATATGTACGTACGTGTTTGCAATCTTCTTAGAGTTAGAGCTTGTGCTTTAAGTTTTGGCTGCGGTGCTGGGAAGGCACGTCTTAGTCCCTGGTAATGTGAAGTGATCTCGTGGTATGTGAGTGCTTTGTCCTGGCTGCAGAGATTCTCGTACCGCTCACTCGTCGAGGGGTCGTTGTCCACGACATGGCATGTGAGCTCACGCGCCAGGCGGTTGACCTCTTCGTTGGGATTGCAGTGGTCGAGTCCTGGTAACTTTACCATGTGGGCTGGGAACCAGGATACGCAGATTTGAGCTTTCTCTTTTTGAATAAGGGTTTCTTTGCTCTCGTACTCTTTTATTGCGTTGGCGGTGAGTTTTCCAGTGCTTCTAGCTACTAGGCCAGCCGCGAACGTTCGTGCCGCCGTCTTAGAGTTCGTGTATATTGGGAGTAGGCTTGGCAGCTCTGCAAGGCTAGCGCGATCGCCATTTCCTCTGCTTCGTGGACATGGCTTGTTTGGACGGTTGCCGCGTTTATTAAGTTTCCGTCTATATCAACGACCGCTGTGGAATACGCCTCCCTGCCGTAGTAGCGGGCGGCATCAACGAATAGCGCATGCGTGTTGCGTTTTTTTGCCTTGTTTATGAGCGCCCTCCCTCTGTCCTTCCTTCGCCCTTTGTTGAACGTTGGGCGAACGTTGCGAGTGATTGGCGTAACCTTAATGTGTTTCCTCACGTCATTACCGAGTTGAGTTCTTTTCTCTGGTTGAAAAATTGGGCAAATGCCTGCGTCTCGTAGGATGAGATGGCCTGCCTGCGTCAACGACAGGCGTGTGATCTGTGCCACTCTCTGAGCCTCAAAAATTTCTTCGGCTGTGTTGTGCAGACCGAGTTGCTCGAGTTTTTCGTTGCTCGTGCTATTGGGCAAACCGAGTGCCGTTGACAGTCCTTGCGGAGCATGGAGTCGACCTTTTTGATTTCAGCCTTCATAAGTTTCAGAACCGGGAACGCGTATGCTACGTGACTTACGAGAAAGGCGTGATACGCCTTCATGATGTTGTCTTCTAGGAGGCCTGCTCTCTTGTTGGGGATTCCAGCAATGCCACTTGCGAAATTGTTCATGCTTTTTTCAAGGTGCTTCAGTGCTTCCTTGTTGTGGCCCTCCTTGGCGCTTAACGTTAACCCTAGTACCTTAACCGTATACTACTTGCGGTATCGTTTGGTTGTTCTCAGCTTTGAGCAATACTTGCTGCCCCTCTTCGTCCAAATTTCGTCGAGGGTGAAAGAGAGTTAGAGTAGATTTAGTGGGGGAGAGTGCGAGTACAGTTGGCTTAAGAAATTGTTTGGTTGTAGTCATTGCTTGTTGAAGGATTGCTTCCAAGGCACCATATGAGTGGCCACATGGGACCCATATGGTAACATGTTCCGCGTATATGGCATGGTGCGCGGATGGGATTTGAGCGAGCTTCTCCAACAACCAGTGCATCGCCACATTAAAGATCAATGGCGAGAGCACTGACCCTTGTGGGGTGCCGGTATTTCCGAGTCGTTCGGGTTCGCCGCATTGCTCTCCTATGGGTATGGTGGCGGTTCGGTTCGACTGAAAGGCTTTAATGTAGTCGTAGAATTTCTCACCTAAGTTCATGTGCGATATCTCACCCAGTATGTGGTCATGTTTTACGGTGTCAAAGGCCTTCGCGAGGTCCAGGGATAATATGGCTTTGGGCGTGTGGAGGAGCCCATAACATATGTGTTACGGGCTCCTGCGGAAGCCAATAATGTTGTGTGGAAAGAGCCCATTGCTCTCAATGTGGTTCGTAATACGGTTGAGTATTGCATGCTCACCTACTTTTCCAACAAAAGATGTGAGTGATATGGGCCTTAAGTTATCGATGCTCAGCGGTTTTTCAGGTTTCGGGATGAGCGAAACCTTGGCACTACGCCATTCTTGTGGCACGGTACCCGTTCCCCATGCCTAATTTATCTTCTTAGTAATGATTACAATTGCTTTATTGTC